ATAAAATTAGACAAACTGTCTTCAGATGATCTAAGGAATGCTTTGTATTTGAAAGCTTGTCTAATTCCACCCCAACCATGCAGTTGGTCCAGTACAAGTTGGACCCCCGAAAAATCGGTGCCACATGCATAATTCCTGGACTATCGTGACTGTATTACTCTAACACTACTAAGAAAGTGAATCCTATGAATTCCAGTCCAAAAATATCCTGCCTTTAATCTGGCGCATAATGAAGAAAGACAGAATCACTTAGGGTAGCTTAGGGTAACACAATAGAAAGGTAATACAGATTTCATTTTATTGGCATAAATATCCATTTCTCCAATGGGTCTTCTCCTTTAGGGCCTACCACCATTTGATCTGAACCACTAAAGCCCATGGGCTACATTTTTGTAATCTATGAGCTGGGATATTCTACCATGGAAACAAAACTTGTGTTATCTTCAGTGACTAATGTGTCCTTCCAGCACAAACATAAGTAGCTTTAAACAATGTCAGTCATGATTAGCATAACATTTTGTGTAAATTTCCATGAGTAAGTAGGGGCATCATATTCTGAGTTCTATATTTAAATCAACAGACACTAGCTTTAATATAATTTCAAGTATGCATCTACATTTGAGATAAGTCTTCATTTAAAATGCCCTATGCTAGCTGCCAGGCACAGAGTACCCTATTGGTTGAAGCCTGAATATGGATCTGAGTAGTGAAATTTTTCAAACAGCTACATCCCAAGAAAAGTGATGTCAACAAGTCCTCACTAGCAGAAACTAAATTAAAGGAAACTTACTGAGCATACCGTCCCAGTTCCTCCAGTTATGGTGCCCCCTCAATTTTTTCATAATCAATCCCTGAAGGACACTACCTCAGGATTTTATAGACTCACCCTACAAAATATCAGGTGTAATGTGAATGTAATGTGTTTAACAGCAGGTGGGACCAGGAGGCAGTTTGCAAAGCTGTGAAGACTTAACTTGGACTACAGGAAGCTGGAGGCTGGACTGAGGAGAAGAGAGACCAGTGTGCACATGGAACCTGGTCAGCCCTACACAGGAGGAGGGCATAATTAAGCTGGAGATCCCACTGGCATGGTCAGCCAGGACTCTGTGGTCTGAAGGAGCTTGACTCAGATTTAGGGGCAAGTGCAGGCTGCTGTTTGAGCACTCTGGGACTAAACGCTTGTTTGGGGACACCTCTGGAGGTTGGGAGGAAACTAGGGTAATAAGTATGTTACCACAATGTTGTTTCTTTATATTTTACCTGTTCCCTCTCTTTGGCCTCTTGGTTTCTGACCCTAACCTATATGATTTTCCATTTAAAAGTGGGAATGCCTTCTTGTCTCTTGTGTCAGTTTCTAGAGTTGCAGGCTTGGCACAAATTGTTGATTGAAGTGGGATTCTGAAGTGGGGGGGCTATCTCATAAGTGAGGGAAATAGGAATTGGTGGTCACAGGACATAAGGCATAGAGCTAACTGTTGCAGTGAGAGCATATATTCTGTTTGTTGTGTGGGTATTTGATCAAGGAAGACGAGTACTAGGGAGGAGGGGGTACCTCTAGTTGGAGGGGAAAACACATATATCCCATCTAGTGTCTTAAGGCCTGTATTCCATCCAGCACCCTACAGCAGGCAAAAACAAGAATGGGGTGAACAATCTGAAATGGCAGCTGAGTTAAATGGGTGGAATGAGATCACTAAGCTAAAATTCCTGAGCTTAGTGCTCACAGAGAAGGCCAAGGAGTGAAGCCAAATAAGTACCTGACTGGGGCCCGGGAACTAGGAATGCTTTGGAACTAGGTGCAGGCCCTGACTGGGCTCATGCAGCCTTCTTTAATTGTAAGACGACTTCAGCAGAGTCAGTGGCAGAGTTTGGCATTGCCCTAAGATGATTAGCTGTAAAGACCTTCCCATAAGTTGGCCCTGAGATGCAGGACCTGCTGGCCTGTGACCAGGTCATCAGCAGTGACCTTAGTGGGGAGAAGAGCATCCAGCTTCAGTTGGGGAAGCCACATAGCTGGGATGCTTCCATAAAGCTAGCCACTGAGATGGAAGTGGTGAGAAAACTGGAAGCCCTAGATATCTAAAGTCCTGAGAATGAGGTGGTGATTGTTAATATTGCAGGGTTGGAATACTACCTAAAGGGAAAGCTAAGAGAAGTTCCTTGCCAGTTCCTCCTAGATTCAAGTGCCTAGGTACCACTGTACATAGCCAGGTATAGGAAAAGCTACAGCAGAAACAGAAAGAAGTCTTTAGCCCTGTAGGCTAGTGGTCAAGGCAGCCAATGGAGAAGCACTTCCAATCCTGGAAGAATGGAGTACAATCACCAGCCTCCAAGGCCTACAGCTCCCATGTAAAATCCTTGTAGCAAAGATGTCTTGTTAGGCACCCAGTTCCTAAAAAATTATAAGGTCACTATAAACATTCATGTTCCTTTCTGGGGAGGTGTTTCCCTTATATACCACAGATGGCCAAGTGAGGGCATATGAAGTGGTAGTGGAGAAGAATCTAATGAATGAGGATTCCTGGTTGAAACTGCAATGGGTAAGAGCCACAGGGGTGAAATTCCAGTCTGGGTTGCTAATACATCAGTAGAACCAAAGATCACATATCAGACCACACTGATTGGGCTGTTTGAGACAGATGTGGCTGTCCTGCAAGATGACCCTGGAACAGAGGGGTTGGTTGCTATAAGAGTACTGAGGTCAAATAAGAGCCCAAACCTTAGAGACAGGTGATAACCTTCGATGGAATTCAGGAAAATTGGAACACAAGTTCAAGATAAATTACCATGGTTTAGAGCCTGAGCAAGTGGAGGCAGTGCAATAAGTCATATTGGAATCTGCAGATGCACTTAACTTTGGAGACTGTGACCTAGAACATACAGGTTTAACTAAGTACCAGATTAATAATGGCAAGGGCCAATCCTGTCAAACAGGGGCTTCAAAGAGTATCCATCCATTTACAGCAGGACTTTGATCACCAGTTGAAACCAATGGAGGAAAGAGGTATCATCAGGCCCTCTGCCAACCTGTGGGCTGCCCTGTGGTGTTGGTGCTAAAGAATGGGGAGGTGTGCCAAGGTGTGTGGGTCTGTGTGTATTATTGTAGACTGAATGATGTTATTGTTAAGGATGCTTACCTCTTGTCTTGAATCGATGACACAGTAAACCTCCTGGCCAAAGCTTGATTGTTCTCCACTCTTGATCTGGCTAGTGGTTACTAGCCAGTGGAAGTATATCCAAAGGACAAAGATTAGACAGCCTTCTGCACTAATAGACTTTTTGAGTTTAATGCCTTTTGGTTTATGTAATGCTCCTAGTACATTTCAGAGATTAATGGATATTGTTTTAGCAGATTTGCAAGGGACAGCCTGTCTGGTGCACCTGGATAATATCATTGTGAAAGACTGAACCTTTCAGGAGCAATTGCAGAAACTGAAAGCATTGTTTACGAGGATAAAGGAAGCCAGCTTAAAAATTAAACCTGCCAAATATCAACTTTTCTGCAGTGAAGTGAACTTTTTGGGACATGTGATCTCCATGGAGGGGATAGGCCCAGATCCAGAGAAGGTGGAGGCTGTTAGGGACTGGCCAGTACCTCAAAATGTAACAGAACTGTACAGATTCTTGGGTTTGGCCTCCTATTATAGAAGATTTGTAGCAGATTTTGCTACCATTGCAAACCCTTTACATAAGCTCTCCAATAAGGTGAAGTTTATCTGGATCAGGAAATGTCAAGACACTCTTTATAGAGCTAATGGTAGTTGATGTCATCCCCTGTCTTAGCGTAGCCTGACCTTCAGTTCTCCTTCTTATTAGACACTGATGCAAGTGATGTTGAAGGAAGCCAGGAAAGGATACTGGCTTATGCAAGGCAAGCATTAAACAAACTGAGTGCTAATATGCAACTACATGAGAGGAACTGTTTGCTGTGGTGACATTATTAGAAATATCAAAAAATGTGCAAACCCTCTACGATATCTGGGCAAAATTTTGCAAACCCTCTATGATATCTGGACCTTCTTAAGGTCCAGTCTCGGCATTTCTGGTTAGGCTGGACAACATCTGTTAAGGACTGGTGCAGGTTGTACAAGGTCTGTGGTACCTGCAAAGGACCAAAGAGTAATGCTAGGACTCCCATTGTCTCCATATAGGCTGGAAGACCCCTGAAAATGGCAGCAATGGATATCCCAAGTCCTCCTACCCCTTATAACCCATAGAAATATATTTGTTTTAGTAGTGGCTAACTATTTTTCCCAGATGGGCAGAAGCATACACTCTCTTGGCTGAGCTGGAGGCCCTGCCTGTGGTAAGGATGCTTGATGAGAGATTTGTGTGGTACCGTGGTGTACTTCACTCCCTCCACACTGACCAGGGGAGAAATTTTCAATCTCAACTATTTTATCATGTACGTGACCTTTTGAAAAATCAACAAAATCTGCACCACCCTGTATCACTATCTGATGAATTGGTAGAATTATTCAACCATACTCTGGTTGACATGCTGTCTTCCTTGATCAAAGACAATCAGGTGGAGAGGGATGAGTTACTCCCTAATGTCATGGAGCAGTATGCAATCATCTATGGGATATATACCAGCTATGGTGTTGTATGGACAGGAGATCTGTCTGCTGGTTGATGTTGTCTCTGGAGTAATATATCAGAAGAATTTAGTAATCCATTTGAATGTGTTATGAAGATGGTAGAGTACCTAAATTCAGTAAGCCAACCTGTTAAGAGACATCAGGCTACAGCCACACAACGGCAAAAAAGTACTATGACCTCAGGGTCACTGGACCAGGAGAGTTGGGGTGGGTATGGAACCAAACCAGGAGGAGGGGTCAATGTCAAAAGTTATGTAAGAAGTTCAGTAACCCTTACAGGATATTTTTGTCATGAATGCAAAATAGTCATAACAGTACTAACACTGTGCATCATGACTAGTTCTAAACACAGAACCATGTGTGTCTCAGAGCTCTGGTGTCTTTTGCCACTTCTGAAACTCTTCCCCAGCCCCTTTTATAATCATCCATGCCAATACTTTCTATCATAATTCTTTTCTTTTCTTCCCAGTAGGAACTCACAGGCCACTCTGCCAGATTGTTCCCCCTTAGCTGTTTGAGGTAGATCAGGGGCAAAGTGGCTTTCCCTGGTCTTCCTACCTCATTTTAGAAGAGTCAACTGGCAAGTTCTTCAGCTAACCTCCTGGCTCTTTGCTTTCTCTAGCCCTTTGGCTCAGAAAAAAAATCCAGTAAGCACATCCTTCTCTTGCTTCCCTATTCCAACTTCTCCCATCTTCCAACTGTGGCTATCCAGTATGGGGATGTCAGGAAGCCATCCTTTCTCCTGGGCACACTTCTGCTCTTCTTGTTTCAGCCTTCTTCACTTGAGGAAGGTCCTAAACTGCAGCTGGGGTAGAGTTGATAATCTATTAGGTTTTTCTGTATTCTATTATTTCACAGAATTGTAGCTTTAAAAGAAATTTAAAACTTCTTGGGAGTAGTAAGTGAACCTGCACATTGAAGGACATAGTATAAAACATTCAAGGTAATACAAACTGGCCTTGTAATTGCTTTTTTAATGCACATCAATTTTGAAAAGAACACTCAGTGTTGTTGCAGTAGTAGACCCCTGCATGAGCAAGCTCCAGCTCTGATTCCTATATTGAAATCTAGAAAGAACCTTTGATCAGGCAAGGATAGAACATAGAAAAAATTATGTACACATTTACGTGAGACAAATTATGCTCCCCCACAATTCCCTCCACATAAAATGCCCATCAGGTTGTGTCCTCTAAGGTTCCCTTCCTTATTTGTCCTGCTGATATAATTATAAGATTGCTTGAAAATGAGGGAACAATCTGTTCACCTATTCAGCATTTTAAGATAGATTAATCTGCAAGCAACACTTAATGGAAACTAAATCACATTCACAATATAACAACATAATTGTGAAACATCAAAAGACTTCTGCAATTAAATACTTACACATCCCTGCTCTTGGAGATTATAGCACCAATAAGAGACTTCTTTTGTGTTTTAATTTCTCCATAAAAAAAACTATGATGGAATTTAGCACTTAGGAAAGTGAGGGACTAATGTCACTGTCTTGAGAGAGGGTAAATATATTCAGACTCTATTGTAGGAAATCTGGCAAAGCTCTTCCAAAGAAACAGAAGCCTGACCTGCTACTTTTTCTTTGAGTCCAATTCTAGCAGTGGATGGCAGAATCTAATCACTTATGTTTTTACACAAACAGGGCAAGAGAGGCAGCAAACAGGGCAAGCATTTTTCAGGTAGTTCACTGGGAATGAGAGAAGAAAGAAGAGAAAGAGAAGCCAGGCACTAGATCGTGCCCAGGGAATGTAAGTGATCTAGGACTGCCTGTGCCTTTGGCTTGCTGAGTGTTTCTTTGGTGAGATGTGTGTGTTTTAGGCCTGTGCTCTGAAAAGCCGGGAGTGTTGCTAGCTGACATGCTTGGAGAGTCACTGGCCATCACCTTTGAAAACTCAAGGTAATTGGGTGAGGTTCTGGACTATTGGAAAAGCGCAAATGTAGTGGCTTTGCCAAGGACAAGTCAAGTCTGACCAACCTGATTGCCTTCTATTATGAAATGGATGGCTCTGGGGATGTGGGGAGACCAGTGGATGTGGTATACCTTGATTTTAGCAAGACTTTTGACACGGCCTTCCACAACATTCTCACAGGTGAGCTAAGGAAGTAGGGGTTGGATGAATGGACTGTAAGGTGGATCATTGGGCTCAGGGGGTAGTAGTGAATAGCTCAATATCTATTTGTCAGCCAGTATCAAGTGGAGTGCTCCAGGGGTCAGTTCTGGGGCTGGTTTTGTTCATTGTCTTCATCAATAACCTGGAAGATGGGATGCAGTGCACCCTCAGCAAGTTTGCAGATGGCACCAAATTGGGGGCAGTAGTAGATATGCTGGAGGGCTGGGCTAGGATTCAGAATGACTTAGACAAGTTGGAAGACTGTACCAAAAAAAATCTTATGAAGTTTATTAAGGGCAAGTGCAAAGTCCTGCACTTAGGACAGAACAATCCCATGCACCAGTACAGGCTGGGGGCTGACTGGCTGGGCAGCAGCTCTGCAGAAAAGGACCTGGGAGTTACAGTGGACAAGAAGCTGAATATAAACCAACAGCATGCCCCTGTTGCCAAGAAGGCTAACAGCATAAAGGGCTGCATTGTTAGGAGTGTTGCCAGTAGCTCAAGGGAAGTGATTATTCCCCTCTATTCAGCACTGGTGAGACCACATCTAGAGTGCGATGTCCAGTTTTGGGCCCCCACTACAGAAAGGATGTAGTGGAGAGAGTCCAGAGAAGGGCAATGAAAATGGTGAGGGGGCTGTGGCACATGACTTATGAGAAGAGACTAGGAGAAATGGGCTTATTTAATCTAGAGAAGAGAAGACTAAGAGATGATTTGATAGCAGCCTTCAAATACCTGAAGAGTATAAGGGGGTTTCCAAAGAGGATGGAGCTGGACTGTTCTCAGTGGTAGCAGATGGCAGAGTAAGGAGTAATGTTCTCAAGTTGCAGCAAGGGAAGTTTAGGTTAGATATTAGGAAAAACTCTCTCATTAGATGGATAGTAAAACATTGGAACAGATTACCCAGAGAGGTTGTGAAATCCTTGGAGGTTTTTAAACCCAGCTAGACAAAGCCTTGGCTGGGATGATATAATTGAAGATGGTCCTGCTTTGAGCAGGGGGTTGGACTAGATGACATCCTGAGGTTCCTTCCAACCCTAATTTTCCATGATTCTATACACTAATTCTACCTCTGGTTATCATGTTATGGAATATTAATATTATTTTATGCATTGGCATTGTTTTGATATATTCACTTCACATGCATTTTCTATTATAGAGATAGATAGATAAAGAACACTGCTATGTTTTCTAGGTATTATTTGATATAAATCAGTGGCCCTGGTGATGGTGCCCTCAAGCACATTCCAGATGCCAAAGGAAGGCAACTTCCAAAACCAAAAGCAGTATAGCAGTGACTGTACATGAAAGTAAATTAGGTTCAGAGGAAACTAACTGGCACACATCATACTATTTAAACTACTACATACCAAGCAGAAGCAGCATGCTAACATAGGTATAGCCATTATGTTTGATACCGTGTGCAAAACTTCCTGGGGGGAAGGGGTGCCAAGCACTGGAGAGCATGAGAAGGGTGAGAGAGAGAAGGAGGGGAAGTCTTATCTGTCCTGGGGACTTAAAGACTGCCTGCTACACTCCTGCACCTGGCTGCTTCTGCCATGTCCCAGTGCCTATGGCCTGGAAGCACAGGGCTGCTCTTTACATGAAGTCCCCAGGGAACCCCAGGGGAGTCTACATCAGCATCCAGGGCTGGTGCCTCTCTCATCCCCACCCCTAGATTAGGCTCCTGAATGCCAGACAAGCATAATGTTCTCAAGGCCGCTGTTACTAGAGATGGGAAGCTTACAGTACAGGCATCACCAGAGAGTATAAATAGTACCCAACCTTTTCTTTTGAAAACTGATTATCTCTTAGAAACTTTAGATAGTTTCACTAGCTTCCTCCATCTGATTAATTAGCCATATATTGAGTGCTTTCACACAGTCTTCCCCAAACCACAGAAAAATGACAATTCTCCCTTTGATAAACTTTAATTAAGAACTGTATTTTCTGGTTCTTGATTAGAGAATGTAATTCTTGGACAAACCTTAAAACAGATTAAACTAAACTACCTCAAGATTTCAGAGGAAAACTTCCAACATAGAGTTTACAACTCTTTGATGCAATGTAAAGTGAGTACACAAAGATTAACCGTATTAATCACAATTTAAATATGAAATAATGAAGCTGTAGTGCCAGATGGAAACATGAGTCAAGACAATGATCCATACGGTAGCCAGAGACAGAAGAAACTTTAGGCAACAAAGAATATTCACTAAGCCTGCCGGCGTGAAAGAAAACAAACAAACCCATGCTTTACCAGAACAGGCAGTACGTTAGTTCACATGCTTCAGATTCAATCAGCTACTAGATAAAAATAAAAGCCTGGCTGAATTGCCTGATCTATACAGATGTTGCGTGAGCCAGGTCCAACTAATGCAATGCCTCTTCTGGGCATGTACTGGACTTGGTGGGGGTATGTGGAGTTTAAAGTAAAGCACTATTCTTCTTGTATTTTTTTTAGTCTGTAAGTAGCCTAATACTTTGCAAAGATGTCTGCATTTTGGTTTAATGAACAAATCTCTGTAAATCCAAACAACACACACACACACACACACACACACACACACACACACACACACACACACACACAAAAGGAAAATTTCACTTAATTTTAAAAGAGTAGCAGGAATTGGCTGTATCTGTGACTCTGACAATAGCCTCCTCTCTGTATGACTGTAATGCATTCAGTGCTTGAGGCAGTGAAGCCACTGCTCCCATTTACCACCCATAACCCCACTTTGTGGTCCACTTTGGCCTCTCAGGGTCCCACCCTGTTATCTTACCTGCCACACTTTGATTGAAAGGGAGGGTGCAGGGGTTTGGAGGGTAGGCCCTTATCTGGGCAGGGACCCTCTGGTCTTGTCCCCACTTTACCCTGGCTATGACTCTCAGCCTGTGGTCCACTATCCTACGATTGCAATCTCCCAGGCCCCAGCTCTGTCCCTGTGAGCTCCGGGCTCCTCAGCCCTTGGTCTCGCCATTGTGAGCTCTGGGTTTGCACTGTCTCTTTGCCATCTCTTGGTTCCTCCCTCTGTCTGCCAATAACAGTCATTCTACAGGATCATGGCCTCAGGAAGGGCTCTATGCTGAGAGGCCCCTGCCAATACCCCTGTGGCCTCCAACCCACTCCATTCAGCCACATCCAGTTCTCTGCTATAAATGAAAACCAAAAAAAAAAGAGGGTCTGCTCCAAAACAAAATGGCCAATCCTGCCCTCCAGAAGTCCAACCTTGAAGGCCTAAGCCACTTATTTGTTCCTGTCTAGGATGCAGGGTTTCTTCCAAG